TTATTTGCAACAACTGATGAATTCTTAAACTTCACTCGTGAAACAATCCTTCAGCGTTTAGAAAACCAGTCTCAAGATTTATTTACTTTTTGATAGTTTTTGAAGACATGGTGAGAAATCTGGAGAAACAAAAAAATTTGATAATCTTCAAAAAAAGTGTCAAAGAAATTAGTTAAATTCTTGAAACTAACAGACAAGTATACTCTCAAAAAATTAAATTCCACAATTGCAAAGTAGGGAAACAATGAAAGTAATCATAAAAAGTTGAGTTTGGTGAAACAACATAAAAAATTGCTACAAAAGTTAAATATTATCAAAATTGCTGGCTCTGGTTATAAAATTAAATCTACAGCAACAAAAAATTCAATGTAATTGAGATCTTCAAATTGATCATCAACCTAACGAGTTGAGTAAAACGGATCGCAAAAGTAAAATATAATGACAAATTAAATGCAAAAACACGTGATCGACTGAGTTTTAGTACTATATCAAACCTATTTTCTGCAATACAATCAAGAGAGCTGAACAAAGTTTCAAAACACAAAAGCAATAATATAAGCTGATGGCACGAAAAAAAAGCAATAGCTTTATCGCTTTATCTAAGTACTGCAAAATGATTTTTTGAAAAAAAAAATTCAAAAAATTGTGAAAACTGTTTATGACTGAGCTCAAACTAGTACGCGCGGTATATTTCGTGATCATAAAGCTGCGATCTGATACTGCCTGAAGTGAGGATTGCTTCTGGGTATATTTGCTTCACCCTAATTGCAACCATTTTGGACTCTAATTAGTGTCTAGTGAATTTCAAAATTCTTTTTTGAAATTTCGAAAACAATATCTTTGTTTTGTTTGTTACTTGATAAATCACTAAAAATTCTAAAACTTCAGAGGACAAAAACTATTTCACAGAAGATTAAGCGCCGTCAAAATATTTAGGGCTCTCTTCTGATATATACAATCTTAATCTTTTTTTCGACATTCGAAGAAAGTTACTGAACATTTGTGGCCGGGGTATTTTTTTTTGCAATACAAACTTCGAATTTTTATCTAGCTTTTTTGACGAAATGGTTTTGTATCATTCAAAATTATTGTTTTTATAAAGCATATCTCAGCTGTGGGTTTTTTAAAAATGTTTTGGGGGCTTAAAGCTAACCAATTTGGCCAATTCGGGACAATTAACCATGCAAAAGGTATTTCGTACTTTCAACGCGTAATGGTAGATCTAATCCGAGTGGGAAACCGTTCCAAAAGGAATTGAGTCAAGCTAGTTGGTCTTTAATAACGTTTTTGTATACGAAACATATAATTTTGTACTATATATAGCCTGTGGGGAATGACTCTCAAAAGCCTCAAAAAATCTCAAAAAGAACAATTTTAAAAATATTTTATAGCATATATAATAATTTTTCAGTTTTTTCTATTTTTCAAAAATAATTTTTAAATTTGTTTTTTTTTTGACATCTTGAACGAGCAAACACAACTCCATAGACCTAAAAAAAGTGTGAATTTGTATTCTAGTTTCAAGCAATATTGAAATGTTTCTGATGGCGAAAGTAAACAAATAAGTGCAACGAAAAGGTTTTTGTGGTATCTGTCACTTTTCAGTCAGATATTATTATTCGAATGGTTTTTTTTGTGCCACTGTGTTCCTGGCGCTATAAAATTACTTCGCCTCCTTCATCATATATTTAATCTTCCTCGCGCACCTATTTAAAAAAAGTCACAGAATAATTCTTAAGCAATAAAAGCTAACAAATACTTGAATTCATTAGATTTGGCGAAATTTAATTGAAGATAAAGCGAAGCTTACTATTAAACTAATTCGTGTGAGAAGATCAATTCACAAAATGAATATTAAATTTTTTTTGAAAGCGAGCCAACCTGCAGCTGTCAACCCATAGCTTAATTAGGTACATAATTGGGTATTCATTTTAAATAAAAACAGAAATTTAAATCATATCTTGTCTAGGCTGATCGCCTAATTTATACCTTTGAGTTAAATGTGAGTCCAAATTGATTAAAAAACTCTCAATATCTCAACATTGAGATGTTTTATGGAAAATTCTTTCCGAGTTCGAATCATGCACATAATATGATACCCTGCCTAACGTGTGTGACCGACCATTTTTTGGGGTAATCAAAAACCATCTTAGTTTTTTTTTCCATTCAACGTTTCACACAAGAAAACGGAAAGTGAGAGCCGTTGATTTAAAAAAAACAATTTTGAGTTAACAAAAAAACGAATTTGTTAAATTTAAATGTATCAACGTAGTAAACTTGATGTTTCATACTTTGATATATGCAAAATTCGCCAATTCGTAATTTACAAAGCTTGTGGGGGTGTGCTAGGAAAGGGCGAAGTATGCAAAATAGATTCCTTCACATTTGAATCTTTTGCAAATTCGGATACCAAAGTGCTTGTATCAAGGCCAAGCCCTGATAGTTCCAACTGTCGTGTGAGATCTAAGGAGTATTGCTCAGTTCAAAAATTTGATGAAAATATCGAAAAAAAAATTGAGAAGTTTTTTGAAAGCCATCACCCACACGCTATTTAAAAAGCAAAGTGATATTTTTGCATAGAGCAAGCAAGCTATTAGATAAATTAAAAAATCTGCTACGGTTTATTTTGGAGCGGTTCCGAAGACGGATTAAATCTCCGCTTGCGCGTTAATAGCGCGTTATCTATTGCAAGTTAATTGCACCAAATTGACAATCGTTAAGCCAATGCAATTTAGTTTTAAGTTTGAGCTCGACACAACAATACTGTTTGAACAAGGAAAAACAACTTTTGAAAAACTGCTAGTTACAAAGCCGAAACTTTCAGGAAAAAAATAATCTCGGCCTCAAATTTTCCATCAATACGTTCGAAAATCGGAACAATTAATAGAAAACGTATCTTAGCTATTTTTGAATGGCTCGATTTCCCTGATTAGCTCTTATTGTAAAAGTGTCGCTGTTTTCGTCATGATCCAATCTTGTTATCCAGTTCTAAATAATGCTGATAATTTGTAGGAGTTGAGATGCTTAGGATAAAATTTGTTGCCTTCGAGCCTTAAACTCAAGACTAGAACGAGTGATTAATTTCAACAACCCTTTTAATTGAAAAACAATTTTTCACGAGCACTCGTTTTTCAATTTTCCGTAAAGAAAACATTTGACGTTTTTTTTTCAGGCTTATTGATGTTTATGTTTTAACGTTTTTTTTTTCAGTTAGACAACTATTTAATCATTGAGCTGAACCTCAAATTTTTTTAATTTCAGTGTTTTAAACAGTTTCAATCTGTTAGATTAGGGTTTTGAGGATACAAAATAAGGTATTTTTTTCTTACAAAAAAAAAAGAAAAAATTGCTTAATATTCTTACTTTCTACATTCAAACTGTTTTATAAATCAAAATAAATGTATTTACACGGTGAGTTATGGTTTTCAAATTGTAATGTTTATATATATTTTTTGAATTGGGCACAAAAAATTACATAGAATTGAACTATAATTCCTATGAACGTATATTTTTGTTCTTAATACCTAATTCATGTAGCTGTCAAGAAACAAAAATTCGTAATAGGGCATGGGCAAGTACCGATCGATAGTTTTTGTGGTAATATTTTATAGGTGGCCTTCAAATTTTGGAGCATTTAGAGCGCTGATATTCTTTTAGGTCTTAAACTCTATTCTGTTAGTGCATTTTTTGTTTTTATTTTCCATGTTTTTTTCTGAACTTAAAATTTGTTACTCAGTGTGTTTTCCTCCCACTTTACACGAAAGTGACGGAAAATTGGTGCTGAAGGCGGCTTTATTCTCCAAAATATTTTTGTATAACCGGCAATTTTTGATGATTTTGTATCAGCCAAAAACTATTGTTGTCCTAAGCTCAAATTTACAAAAAATATTTCAACTGTCTTGGTTTTTTTATTTTTGAGGCTTAAAAATGGCCAATTTCGCCCATTTGAGATAATTAGCGCGCGACATACTTTGTGCTACCAACTCGTAAGTGGAGATTTACTCCATTTTGAAACCATCTAAATTGAAGTGAGGCACTCTATTTGGTCTATTTAGTACTTTGCCAGATACAAAAAATAAAAAATCACTTTTTACTTTACAAGCGTGTGAATCATGAATCTCAAAAAAAATCTCAAAAACATGTTTCAAAACTTTTCAATTTTTTTTTTCATTTTCACCATTTTTTTAATCAACATATTAAATTTGATATTTAATACCTTTTCATTTGATTTATTAGCGAATTTGGAAACTACGTTGCTTGTATCAGTGGCAAGCCCTGAATGTTGCGACTAATTTATGAGAGGAAGAAGTGTTCGCTTCAAAATATATGGTGAATGTGCCAAAAAAACTGAAAAAAAAGTTGATTTATTTTTTTAAAAACACTCCACACGCTATTTGAAAAACAAAGTAAAAATTTTCGCATGAAGCAAGGTTTCAATTAGGCCAAAAAAACGTACTCGATTTTAATTGGCAACTGTTTTGAAGACGGATTAAATATCTGTTTACGCAATAATAGCGCGTTATCTATTGCAAGTTAATTGGACCAAACTGGCAATCTTTAAACCCCCTTACTTCACGGAAAATCACATGTGATTTTTGAGCGTGAGCTCGAGAACACAACACTGTTGGAATGATATGAGAACCTTCCGTGATAAACTGCTAATTAAAAAGTCGAAAGTTGTCCGGATAAACAAACAAACCGAGCTCAAATATTCAGTCATTTTCTTCAAAAGTCGGAACAATCAATTCATCTTAGCTATATTTTGGGTTGCTCAATTTTTCTGATCAGCTCCTTATAACAGCATCACTGTCGTCATCAGAATTCAAACTTACTATCCAGTTTTAAATAATATTGATAATTAGAAGGAGTTGAGATGCTGGGATGTCTTTTAATGTCTTCCAGCATTAAACTCAATAGTAGAACGAGTGAGTAGAGTAATATCAACAATTCTTTCTATTGAAAACTTTTTTTTTGAATATTTTCATTTTTTAACTTCGTGATTCATTAAAGAATACTTTTGAAATATCTTCAGGCTAATTGGTGTTTGAGTTTTCACGTTTCGGTTTAATTTTCCAGTTGGACAACTATTCGGCCAATAAGTTGAGCCTAAATTTTATTTACTTCCAGTGTTTGTTTATTTGCCAGAAGGCTCAGCACCCCCGATCCGTGAACATTTTTGATGGTAGAGCGGAAAGCATGTTGTCTGGTCCAGGTGCAACGAGTCACATATTTCGGCCCACAGGTCTTGAAGGCAGAAATCTTCGGCCTCGCAACACAAACCCAGCATCATTTCAGCGACGTTTTCTCGAGTTCGCAAGTCGGTCAAGGACATGTCGAGGTCATCTAGTCCTTCCGGCATCACGAAGTCGGAATCCACGAATGATTGCTTCTCGGGCTCAAACGACTCGTCAAACACTGGAAAAAAATCGGTTGGTTTAAAATTTGCAGTCGTAAATGCTCTGTTAGTTGTTTCTCTTAAGTAGAACATTTGCGAATTTTCCCCGATTTTGGCTGATCATCCTTGATTAAGAAACTGCTCATTAAAAAACTGATAGGAATTGATTTCTTATCACTTTAAATCCGCAATTATACTTTCCTAGCTTATTTCCCTAAAAATACACTTTTACAAAAAATTATTTTTTGCATGAGTTATGAAAGAAGTACAATAACAATTAGTTATTTATGATATTTTCAAAAAAAGTACCAATCAATTTTTCAACCGTCGCCTTCAGAACACATGGTAGCAAAAAGTAAAATACAATGATTTAAGAGACAAAAATTAAAATGAATGGTACAGAAACAAAAGTCGGTCCCTGTGGAACTAACACAGAACGTTCCGACTTCAAAAAACGCTTAAAAAAATTCGAACAAAAATCGTCTTTTTTTCAGAAATCGTGTTTTTTCAATTTTTTCAAGTTTTTTGCCAATATCACAACATCTGGAAAAAACTGTCTCTTGTGCCCTAGAACGATAATTCGACGAATGTTTCAACCCTTCAGATTAAAGGCGGATCTTGGATTTTTTCGGGATCTAGGATTCTTCGGTAGTGTGGGGGATGGGGGGGTATGGATTTTGAAAAAACAAGCCAAAAAAGGCTTAACAGGCCAAAATTGTCAACTCAAAATAGCACAAAGGGGAGAGGGACCCTGTGGGTCGGCAGGGGGTCGAATCCCTGAGAAGAAAAAGCGTCCAACCCCCCAAACCCCCCCCCCCCCTAAATCCGCCCGTGCTTTAGATTAATATGATAATTGAAAAAACCAGCTGATCTCTATCGTTTCATAAATCTATTAGGAAAAAAAAATTATCATCTATTACGAAAAGTCTTTGTTTTTCTTAATTAAATTATGAAAAACGACAAGGGCAGAACCTTGCATTACCCGAAAACAAAACAAACAGTTTGTGATAAAAAATGATTAAAATGTTCGAAAAAAAAAACATTTCTTATTCATATTACCCCCCAGATGCTATATGATATATTTTGCGTCTGGTAACGTATTAATAAGACCATATTTTAATTTGGACAGATTTAAGCAACCGCATACCCTTTATTAGGGCAACACATATCGATATGTTTCCGATTTTGCTCAGCTCATCAATTGATTTTTTATTTTCGTTTTTATAATAGAATCTTCTGCATCTTTATGAGGTACCTACACGACTGCTTACTTAATACTTGCTATAAAAATAGGCTTAGAAAAAATTACGAGATGAACTGATTGTAATTAATCAGTGAAAAAGAAGCAACTTGCCTGAACCGATGAAGTTTGTGTTTGGTCGTTTCATGACGTCAGTTTTACCCATGTGAAATCTTGCTAGAAGTCGCTGTGGTGTGCGAACGTTGCTGAATCTGCCTCCGTGGGACCAAACCCCGTAGTCCCTCTTTTCAAACCCACCCCAACCCGACTTGTGACTCTTGCTAATGAAACCCTCCGAAATTAGGGAAAGAGATAATATCGTAACACATAGGAAAGCAAAATGCGAAATAGACGCCATTTTTAATTTTGAACTTGAACTTTGATTTTGATTTTATCGCACTTGTGGGCAAGAATAAAAGGGTTCCGTTAATGACGACTCTTTGGCCCCGAGAACATTTAGAATTGGTAATTTTGCATGACGTGCATGTGAAAGAAATCTGTTGTCAAAATGGTCAACCCCCTAGGCGACTGGCAGTGAATCTTAAAATGAGCTACTTGTTCGAGGCGAAAAAAGGCAGAGGAAATCGATCGATTTTAAAAAGTAAATTGCGCCCGCTAAGTAAAGTACCCGCGGATTAATTTTGTACAATTAGCATAAAATTATCCGGAGTTTTGTTTCGCTCCCGGCAATTCAATCCCGCTGACTGAAGGCTTGTGACAGGACGACGAAAAATGATATTTTTCATAAATCATACCTGTAAATCAATTCATCAGGCCACCTTATACTCTCGTTTCTTACATTTAATCAAACGGAACCAAAATTGGTTTCTGGTAAAATCTAATAATATTTGATTGCCTTTTTACCAGTCAAGTTGGCTTCACTATCCTTTTGCTTTAATTACTAATCCTGGGTATTTCAACCCAGGTCGCAATTACGTATGATAGTAGCTGACCGCGAAATTTGGAACCAATTAAATGAACAAAAGTCTGCCCAAAATAGAATTCATTTCATATTCTTGAAGTGTAGTTTTTCAGTGGGAAAATCAATACTTTCTTAGACATCTGTACAGTCAAATTGAAATGATAAGACAACTGACGGAGAAACTGAAGTTTAATTTACCTTTTTTGGACTGAAGTTCAAAAGCTTCTAAGAGATCAAAAGCTGAAGGTGAACAACTAAGGACCACAGAAAACAAAAACGACGATTTAATTCTGAATTGTTTAAAAATCACTTTTTAAATCTGAAAGAATCAAGACCTCTAAAAAATACTTTGGTAATATGAAAACTCTAAAATATAGCAATTTACTTTCAATGCAATTTTGGTTGCAAGGCTATTTTCTTGCAAGATGTGAAAACCAATTGGATCAGTTTTTTCTAATATGGATGGGGGACAAACAGAAAAGACATGGTTTTATATCGGCATATCAAAGAGATAGCATCATTGTTGCAACTTTTGACGAAAGTAACGGCATATTTGTGCTCGGGGACGTTTTTTCTTTAGACAAATTTCGACTTTTAACCAGAAGTTTTTAATGGAACTTTTTAATATCATCCGGAAATATTAGTGCCCTGAGCTTAAAATAAAATATATATTTCAGTTGTGATTTTTTTTGTTAAGTTATGGGAGTTAAAGTTTGACATTCGGGCCAATTTTAGATAAATAATGCGCGATATAATTAGAGCTTTTAACGCGTAAGCGGATATTTATTTCATTTTTGAAATCGTTCCAAATTGAATCGTAGCAGGCTATTTGGTTACTTAAAAATCTTTTATACACAAAATATATCAGTTTGTACTTCATATAATGGGTGGAGTTTCGTTAAAAAAAACATCTAAAAATTTGTTAAATTTCTTTTTTTATCTAAAAATTTTATCAATTTTTTTTTGAAAGCAGACCTTGCTCCATAGAGCTTAAAAGGCATTCGGAACATTCAAGGCTTTGCTCTGATACGAGTAGTGTTGATTCTTTTCTGTTTTGATTGGTTTTATAACTAATTCTCAAACAGATTTTGAGATGAATTGAAGATTTTAAACAAATACTTTAAGCAAATACTTTAAAGTTCCACTGAAAGACTTTTTGTGGTGTTCGACGAAACAGAAAAAAATCTCCAAAACTTTAGCAAGCATTTCAAGATGGTTTGACTGGATCAAGTCAGAACATTAATTGTATATTGATTCTGAGCTTTCTTTATTTTCTAATCATTCCAAAACCCTTTTTTTACCACGCACAATTTAGTAAAAAATCAATGTTTTGGTACATTTTTAATTACCTTATTCGACATCAGAAACCAGCCAATCTAACGTTAATAGTATGTGCCGAAGTGATTAAATTGCTGTAGAATTACTATTTCTGAAACAACTAGTTTCCTACTGGCCTCAAAAAATATAGAGAACTAAAATATACGGGCAAAATCTAAACCATGTACAACTGCTTTATTTAGTACGACCAATTAGCTTGTTTTTGTTCAATTTGGACCGATTTTCTAGCGCGAGATAATTCCCTACGCACAAAAATTCACGGTACACCTTCAGCATCTTAACTATACTACAGTGCTGATTAAATTTGTTCGCAGAAAAGTTGAAATTTTTTTTTTTCGCAAATTCGGTTGAATATCAACAAAAAAAGGCTAGGGACATAACTTGCTGAGAATATTAGCAGAATTTAAACGGTGCAGTTTGTTTTGTAAAGTTCAGGCTAAAAAATTTACACCAAAAACGAACAGTTTCAGAAGCACTTAGTCAATTAAAACTATCATCAAACCTAAGAAGTCAGTTACTATCAAATTTAAAGTCTTCATAAACTTGCTAAACCTCTAAGCAAGTTTTCTTTTCATAATTTAAATCGACACTCTATCCGTAGCGTGCAAAAACTAGTCTTAAACTGGAGTACGGTTAATTTGGCAACTTTCAAACCTCGAGAATTTTACAACAGTTTTTCGAGATCCTTTCAAAATTGAGTTCAGCAAATTGGCATGTTCAATGACGTATAACTTTTTCGACCCCTGCGCCACACTACCCAAACGGTCCTCTTTGATATTTTTTAAGGGCGTCCATTTTCGCCGATGACTCCAAATTTTTTGTTACGAGGGGATGCGCAGCGAGTTGGCATGTTCGTTATGAAGATGCTACCTCCCAGAAATTACCCGAATAGCCCTTTTGACCTGTTTTTTTCCTCAAAGTTTGCCTGCACTTCAAAAATTTTTAACTAAACAAGGTCGTTATGAAGCTTAGAAAATCAATATGATTGACATATATAAAGGCTGATAAAAATGTTCCACAAATTTTGAAAACTCGGCCGTTTTGTTTTAAACTCGTTTTTGCTTTTCCCAATTTCTAAGAATATTTAGAAGAAGTTATGACAGGGATGTTTTTAATTCAGGACCATTTCCAAAAGAAAATTGGGAGGAGACTGTGAATCCAACATGATATCTTCGTACTAACAAACATGATCGTACTAACATATCGCTATCAAAAATGGACCACAAATAAAATGCTCAATTAAAACTGAAAATGTTATTTTTGATGCTGAAAGCGTTAAACAAACCCCGCTAACATTAAAGCACCGAATTGAAAACAAGCTAATTAGTTTAAGCTGGTTTTTTTTAAACACTTGAAATTTCCTATTAAGGGTCCGAACGTTATAGTTAAGCAAAATTTTTTCGATTAAAACCTATAACCGACCATTACAAAGGCTTTCGGGTCAACCAGGGTTTTTTTTGGATAATATACAATAATTCTTTTTGCTGAGTTTGTAACCCAAAGTAAAAACGATCTCACTCTTAAGCAAAAAAAGTTGAAAAAAATTAGAGGGACCCTTTTGTCACCACTTAATGCAACTCTTTCGGAGTTTTAATAATATTAATGCTACTAGCTTTTTTTGATTGTCAAGCATTTATTTTGAACCTATCAGAATCCATAACAAATCCTTTAAAGTTTTTTCTACACACTGGTTGTACTGAATTTTCTTCGAGGATAGTGTGAGGTTGATCTGCTCGAAAATCTGCTCCAACCTTGTATCAAAGGAAAAATTGTTGCTTTTTTGAGAACCATGTATACGGAAACTTACCGCCAAGTCATAGTTCACAGTACACTGTCACGAAAATTTTCGGTGATTTGCGGAGAAAGACAAGAGTCGATCTTATCTCCTTTCTTTTCAATTTAGTAATCGATGGGGTCATGCTCTCCACCCTTAAAGAGAGCAGACATGAAATTGCACTTGACGATACGGATGTAGCAGCAGAAGAAACCGGCAGCTGAAACCATTTGTAATCAAAATAGATAAAACAACGTTCTGTTCAATAGACGAAACTTTAAATTTACCAGCTATGGGTCAACCCTTGGTCCGAATAGACATCTTTACCTTTCTAGACAGCAACATCTAATTGGACGGAATCATTTTTTATGAACTCATACTGAGAACTGGCAAGGCCAATGGTAGCTTAAGAGGCTCAACAAGGTGTAGAAGTCTCGCTACTTACCCCTGAGAATCAAAGTTTGCCACACTTATAGTAGAAGTACTCTGAGAACTGACAAGGCCAATGGTAGCTTAAGAGGCTCAACAAGGTGTAGAAGTCTCGCTACTTAGCCCTGAGAATCAAAGCTTGCAACACTTATAGTAGAAGTACTCTTCTCTATGGCTTCGAATCTTGGCCTCAAAAGTTTCAGATGTGTACAAAGTCTTCGAAATCTCTATATTTTAACTATAAAGCCGCGAGAAACCGAAATGTGACATCATATGCGGTAAGATTAATGTTAAAGCTCAAAATTAGTATTCGTGTTGAAGCTCAAAAAATTTTTCTTCAAATATACAAAGACCCAAAGGGTTGGGCCATGCTTTGCGAATGATTTAAGGTATAATTACCAATGCTGCTCTCGAATATGTGAAAGCAGAATCGTGGAAACGACCACCAGGCGTTGTTCGTACCACGTGGGGCAAATTCGTTAAAAACGATCTGAAATGCAACAAAAAGACGCAAAGGATATCCGTCAAGAGATGAGATGAGGGACGTGTTGTAATCTAAAAAGAGAGCGCGATGGACCGCAAACATTTTGGCGAGGTTTTGTTTGGGATTTTCAGAAGGCGTGCAATGGACAGTGATGTTTGCAAACGCCCTACAAGTAACAAATAATTAAGTGGGGTTGATCTCAGTTGTGTTACTTGTAACACCTTTTTAGGTAACTGAATATTTCCCTATAAATTAATTATTCCGCACGGCTGATTTTGCCGGCTTCGCCGGATTTCTCTGTGGATTAGTCAAAACCTCCTCGCTTGATTATCTTCATTCCGTACCTGAATCAATCGATGGAACCGTACAAGGGTTGAGTATTCTCATAACCATGGGTCTAGCATCTCAATCAAGTTTCTATGACCAAATTCTTACAAAGCTCCCGCCCTAATTCAAGGTACTGTAGTATGGTCAACAAAACGAAGTGCATTTCTGGCGTCTGCTCGAGCATGAACTCCCTTCTCATTAGCTCGAAGTTCTCTGGCCAACTTGGTGATTTGTCTAACTTTCCCACAAATGTAGACGTTTTCCAGTGAGTCTATTCGAAGCTCTGTAATAATTGTTGACATTTTGTTTTTGTTGGACCATTACAAAGGCCATGTTTTCATGTTTTCTACCTTTCAGTTTTTTCGTATAAAAACATTTTTACCATCAAAAAAATTTAGCTTGTATTTTATTTGGAGTAATTCGTAGGCTTTTTAAAGCCTTCTGTATATGATCACTAAAAATGCTGGTCTAGCTGACTGCACATTTGGAAACCCGGACCGACTGCCCATGGGCTTTAATCGATTATAGTGGATCTTCGAGACAAAAATAATTCATTAAAATTCATTACAGATGTACAAACCAGACATCGAAATGATCATAGTGCCATTATAACCAATTAAAACCCATGCTTATACGATGTATTTTTGGTTTTACAGTTTCCGCACCAAAATTTCA